CAGACATTTTTCCAGATAAATAAGGAAGAGGAGACTAGCACTCAAAATTTATGGGACATGGCCAAGGCTGTTATGAGAGGAACTGCAATTGCGTACATGGCCAATGAATATAAAAAGAAAAGGCAATATCGAAAAAGTTTAGAGGAAGAATACAAAAAATTAGAATCAGAACTACAAAAAAACCCACAATGTAGAGACCTAAAACAACAGCTAGATTTAAATAAGCATAAATTGAACATTATAGAAAAGGGAGAAATGGCAAAAAAAAAAAAAAAAGTATTAGACAAAAAATTTTTGAACAGGCAAATAAACCCGGGAGATGGTTGGCTTATAGACTGAAAAAACAAAAAGATAAAAGATGGATTAGTAAATTATGTAATCAAGCAGGGGAGATGGTACATCAAAATGAAGGAAAAAATGGGTGACGTATGAATTCTATAAAAATCTTTATAAAGAGGATGAAAAGATTACTGAGGAAAGAATATCACAATATCTTATGAAAGTGGACTTACCGAAGGTTCTGGAAGAATTCCAAAATCTATATAAATAAAAATGTAAATGTTCATTTGTTCAAAATCTTAAATCTCCGAAAGTTCTTCACCAATTGCTTTGATATTTTGACACAACATTGCATTCCAATACGCGTGTGTTTTTATATACCTATATTATATAGATGTCACACCTGTGACAGGTAAAAACATGCTTTTTCTCAAAAACAGTGCCATCTGTTGGACATAAAAGCAACACACGCTACGTGCGCTTTCTCTTTTCTTTCTTTTCCACTTAACCAGACTGAGCCACAGCAATGCATGGCCAGGTACAGCTAGTATATTAAATAAAGATATAACAGTCCAGGAAATTATAGAAGCAATTAAAAAACAAAAAAGTAATAAAACACCTGGCCCCAACGGATTATCATCCAAAATATGTAAGAACTTCTAAGAACTTTTGCCCCAACCCTACTGGACATATTTAATGATGTACTAAATACAGCAAAAACCCCAAACTCATGAAAAGAAGCAATCATCTCACTAATTCCTAAAGAAAACTCTGATTTCATCTGCATTAAAAACTATAGGCCCATCTCTTTACTGAACATGGACTACAAGTTTTTCATGACCATAATGGCAGAAAGATTAAAAAAATATTTAGTTGAATTTATCCATACCTACCAAAATGGCTTCTTGCCTAAAAGACAAATTAGACATAATGTTAAGATTATACTAAACATCTTAGAATATTATGAATTACATAGCGAAAAACAAATGACATTGATTTTTGTTGATGCTCAGAAAGCATTTGATAATGTCAAATGGAATTTTATGTCGACTCAACTTAAACAGATGGAATTCGGGGGGAAATTTATAAACATGTTTAAAGCAATCTATTCCAAACAAGAAGCAAAAGTAATCATAAACGGAGAATTAACAAATAGCATCCAAATACAAAAAGGCACGAGACAAGTTGTCCACTATCTTCTCTATTATTTTTTCTTTCTTTAGAAGCACTCACAAGAATAATTCATAAAGATAATCTGATTAAAGGATTAGAAATCAGAAAAGAGACATTTAAATTACAGGCTTATGCAGGTGATTTAGTTTTCATTCTGGAAGACCCCTTAGAATCTGGAATAAGATTATTACAGGTGCTGGAAAATTATGGAGAAGTTGCAGGGTTGAAAATTAATAAAGAAAAAACTAAAATGTTAGTTAAAAACATGTCCAATTTACAAGAAACTGAGCTAGTAGAGAAAATTAATATCCAGACATCTAAAAGAGTAAGGTACATGGGGATCCAACTGTCGGCAAGATGTATTACATTCAAAAGAGAAAATTATGATAAATTAATAGATCAAATTATAGCAGACTTAGACAGATGGAAAAACGTGCAGCTCTCCTTTATGGGGAAAATAGCGACAATCAAGATGAATATACTTCCCAAATTCTTTTTATTCCAATGTGTACCAATTAAACTAGGCAAGGATTTTTTTGGAAATTTAAACAGAATTACATCCAAATTTATCTGGCAAGGGAGAAAACCGAGAATTAAATTAAAATTATTACAGGATGCAAAAGAAAGAGGAGGGCTCGGCCTCCCGAATTGGGAAAAATATTATCAAGCAGCAATATCAGTATGGATAAAGGATTGGATACACTTAAGGAACAGACAACTACTGGCATTAGAAGGCCATGACATGCAAATAGGGTGGCATGCCATAATGTGGGACGGGAAATATAAGGCTCATCAGTACTTTCAGAATCACCATATTAGACGGGCACTATTAGACGTGTGGATAAAAATTAAAAAATTTAATTATATAAAAATTCCCAACTGGCTATCCATATTAGAGATATTCATGCACCCCAAATTCATAAATTTAGGAAGAGTAATCACTTATAAAGATATCTTAGACTAGAAGGGAGACCTGAAAACAAGGAAAAGATTATTAGAAGATGGTATAGAGTTGGAATGGTGGGCATACTTACAAATATAGTTGCGATACAGAAAAGACAAAAAAGAACCAGGGATAAAATTAGAGCATACACAATTAGATAAAATCCTTCTAGGAACAGAAGATCAAATGATAAAAAAGATATATCAATATTTATTAGAACAAGGTTTGTTAAAAGAACAGGTAAAAGAAACAATGTTAATCTGGAGTAAAAATTTTGGTTATAGTATTGACCTAGATAATCGGCAATCATTATGGGATAGAAACAGAAGGTTAACGCTAGCCACTTCATATAAAGAAAATCTATACAAGATGTTTTATAGATGGCACCCTCCCCCTACAAGGCTAGCAAAAATAGATAAAAAAACCTTACCAACATGCTGGAAAGGTAGAAGGCTTTCAGGGACTTACTATCACATGTGCTGGGAATGTTCAAAAGCGCAAAATTTTTGGCATCAAATTAAAAATTGGCTGAAAGAAATACTATTACAAAAAACTGATTTAAAACCAGAAACCTTCTTATTAGGGATTATTAATGATAAACTCAGCAAAGCATCTCTCTACTTACTATTGTATATTTTAACCGCAGCAAGATTGGCATACGCCCAAAAATGGAAAAGAAAGGAAACCCCCACTGAAGAATAATAAATAAAATCTTATCCTGTGCCAAAATGGACAGGTTAACTCTAGAGATTAAAAATAAAACTGAAACGGAGTATTATGAAATTTGGAAAAATTTGTACGATTGGTTGGAGATAAGGAGGATCGCTGAGATGATTATCGATTGATTAATTGATATCGTAAGGACTTCTTATTAACACCTATATTAGGACACAACTGAAAGATATGTAAATACAACGTTGATGACTGAAAGATGGTTTACTAAAAAATTTACAGATATTATATGTACAGTTTGTTATATTCTGTCCTGTTATAGAATGTATTTTAAGTTTCTGTTTTTCTTTCTGTAACATAAGGTAATACTAATAGCAGTGTTGTCGTCAGGAAAGTTTAATCATGCCCACTTCTGTTTTTAAATGTACATTTAATAAAATTTGTATATATAAAAAAACTCTCCCCCTTCGCCACTGGGCGTGAGCAGCGGCACGGAGCTCTGTCCTGGGGGGGGGGAGCAGCAGTGGCCTAACCCTAACCCCCGCCCTGCCCCCTCCCTCACCTTGCCTCACCCTGCAGGACGAGCCTCCTGCCCACCCCCCCATCCGCAAGAGACCTCCTGGATCTCCCCCAACCCTGCCCAGCCCCCACAGACATCCCTCCCCTGGAGCAACATCAAGGTGGCCACACCCACACTGGCCACGCCCATCCAATCCTGCTGTGACCACTGTAGCCACACCCACCCAGTGAGCCACGCCCACCCAGCACCCGGCGATACATAAGTGAGTTTTCGGTTGCAGTTTGGGCACTTAGTCTCTAAAAGGTTCACCATCACTGCTCTAGTACATGGATATGCATTTGTGTTATGGTTGGAAATTAATGAATGCACTTGTCAATGGATGGAAACTAACCAAGAAGCAGCCTAGAACTAAGAAATTTGCTGACAATGAGAACAATTAACCAGTGAAACAGGTTGCCTTCAGAAGTTGTGGATGCTCCATTACTTGAAGCTTTAGAAAAGAGACCGAACAGCCATTTGTCTGAAATAGTATAGGGTCTTCTGCCTGAGCAGGTGGTTCTGATAAGCTCCATATAAATTTATGCCATTTCTAGGTGGAAACATGTATCGTTTAGAAAAAGAATACGGTCATCCCATGGAAAGGCCTTCCACATGTACAAACCCACTAAATTCAATGAAGTCTACATATGAGCAGCTTTGGGAAGTTTATATCCATTGCATTAAGGGCAAAGCAAAATAATTGGCTCAGAGATTTTCACCCTGCACTGTGCAGTCTTGACAAACATACTTCTGCTTCACTCAACCAGTTTTTTACAATAATCAATACAATTTCCCAGAAACTTCCTAATTTAAAAGATTTCATCTAACTTCAGAGCATCCTGGATGGGGAGTACTTTGCATGGCACATAACCTCACACACACCCCAACCCTAAACAAATCAACCTAAATGTCCATCATACCCATCATGTTTCAAAGATGAAAAGCTGGGTCGAAATCAACACCATGATTTATTTCTCCCGTTTATTTCTTTCTTTAAACCACGAAAACTAGAAATGAGATTGGTTGTCCATGATGTTGGACCTCATCTAGTATTATTATTATAATGCATCTGCTTAAAACGAGCGATTTAGGCTATGGGGCGTTTATCTTCGTGCAAAACTTGGTGAGGGCTTCTCCCATTCTTTTTTCCCTTTCCAAGGAAGAGAAACCGGGGGCTTTATCAATGCTGCCAGGATGCACCGGAGCGCCTCCCTCCCTCCCTCCCCATATACGAGAGGAGCTAGAAACCCACCCCCGAAGCACAAAGGGACTCCCTCGCCACCAAGAAACAAAAGAGCGTGAAAGAGGCGGAGGACGAGGGCGCAACCGGCTGCAAAGCCTGCACGGCGCGCCAAGAGGCGCTTCTCGCCTTACCCGGCTGCCTCGGAGTCCACGCCGCCTCCTTCCCGGGAAGGTCCCGCGTCGCTCCTGACGGCTTTCTCCACTACGACGAGTGACCGCCGCCCACGACCATCCGCTCCAGAAGCTTTCTGTCCGCTCGCTCGCTCGCTCTTGCCCTCCACCTTTGCCTGCAAGTTCCTCTCGCAGCCGGGAGGCTCTCTCCACGCCCTGCAGCCGCTCGCGAGTCTGCTCCAAGTCGCCCGGGGTACGGGAGGTCAGGCGTGAGGGTGTTCCCCAGGGAGAGAGCGGCCGGTCACTCCTCCTCCTCCTCTTTTGGCTGCCCCTAAAAAGACGCCCGCGGTTCTTCCCCGCCGGATTCCCGAAGCCTTTCCAGCGGCCCTGCGGCGCGCACGTCGATGGAGCCCCGGGGCAGGGCACAGCGTGCCAGGCCGGCTTGCCGCGCGGGAAAAGAGGCTGCCTCAGGCAGGGAGAGAGTTGCAAAGTGCTGGCAAAGTGAGTAGCTGCCTCCTTTCCCGGCTCTCGCCTCTCGCTCTCTCTCTCTCTCTCCCACCCCCTCGCCCCTCACGCCTGGCTGATGTAGACGGAGGAGGAGAGGGGCGGAGGAGAGAGAGCCGAGTCCCACCCCGCCACTTCACTCCCTCCCGCGCTCCCCCCACCCGGTCCTCCTCCTCCTCCATCTCCATCTCCAGGGAGCAGCAGCTAACAAGGGCCCTTCTGTTGCCCTTGGCCGAGGCGCTGGCGGGCCCAAACGCGCCCTTGCCTTCCGAGCGTTTGCGTGCCGGGGCTGCGCGGGGGGTCCCGGCTGCCTGGATGGCTTCTTTCGGCGGAGCTAGAGAGGAAAAGGCGCCCTTGGGGATTCCGCGGGAAGTGCGTGCCGAAGCCGCCTGCTGCCCCCGCTGGTGGCCCCTCTTTTCCCCGCTTGGTATCATCCTGTGACGCTCTTGGGAATTTTCCCACGACACCTCAGGAAATAGAAGCTTTGTCTCACTTGCACACCACGCATGCCTTTTTATCTGAACACCTGCGCGGTCCCAGGCAGCATCCTGGAGCACCAGGAAAAGGTGAACATTGGCTACTTGCAGCTGCTTCTTGTCCTTCCGTTTGCAAATGGGGGAATCCTCTCTTCTCACCAGATCCCAAGAACCAGGCTCTCTAGAGCAGTGGTTCTCAACCTGTGGGTCGGGACCCCATTTGGGGTCCAATGACCATTTCACGGGGGTCACCAAACAAGGCTGTCTGCCATTTTTTTCCCTTTTTCTTTGGCCACACCCCTGGCACCTGGTGATGTATAAGTGGTTGGGGGTCACCACAACATGGGGAACTGTATTATGGGGTCGCGGCATTAGAAAGGTTGAGAACCACTGCTCTAGAGCAATCCTATCCAAAGAGGTAACTTGGGGCCAGCGCCAGCCTAAATTTTAAAGATCTCCAAGGCCAGTTCAGAAGCAAAGGTAGGCTAAACTGAAAAGTCACAAAAATCTTAGCTGAAACCAATAGGAAGCTAGCTCCATATTGTTGCCAAGAAAGTGACATGAGTGTGTTGTACAAAATCACCGAGAGTCAAAATTAATTTACAGGAGACTCGATTTTTTTTTTTTTTTTATTAAAAATTTTATGAATTTTACAAAAAAGAAAAAAGAATACAAAACAAGAGACAACATATACAAAAAAATAAAACTAAACAATACATATATAAGAAAAAACCCCCATCCCCCACCCCTCCCCCCCCCAAAAAAAACCCTCCCTTCCCCCCCCCCTGAGCTTCCCAGAGCAGAATATAGGCTTAAGAAATAAAAATAAAAATTAAATTAAGAACTTTATATTTATATATATAAAAAGATTATCTATAATATATATGAAAATAAAACTTATGAAAAAACTATATAATATTTTTGTATACCCAATCTAAATTGTATAAATTTTATCCATTTATCCCAAACAGCAAAAAACTTCTCTTGCGTTTGTTGCTTTAAGAAAGCCGAAATCTTTGCCATTTCCGCCAAATGAGCTACTTTAAGAAACCATTCCTGCAATGTAGGCAAAGATTCCTTCTTCCAATATTGTCCTACTAACAGCCTGGCGGCTGTAATCAAATTTAACATCAATACAACCTCCTTTGTATCACAATCTGTAACAATACCTAACAAAAATAATTGCGGAGTAAATTTTACCCTCCTTCTAAAAATTCTCTGGATATTCCACCATATTTTGATCCAAAATGCTTTTATCTCTCTGCATGACCACCAAATATGATAATAGGAAGCCTCCTTATAACCACATCTCCAACATTTGGGTTGCACGTCAGGGTACATATAAGACATTTTTTGTGGATCAAGGTGCCATCTATAAAACATTTTATAAAAATTCTCCCTTAAGTTCTGTGCTTGTGTAAATTTGACATTTCTCACCCAAATATTTTCCCAGGTGTCCAATGAAACTGGCTCACCAAAATTCTGCGCCCATCTTATCATACAATCTTTAATTAGTTCCGTTTCTGAATCCAATTCAACTAAAACCGCATAAATTCTCTTAATGTGGGTTTGTCTTGAATCCTTCACTTGCTTAATAAGATTTTCATCTTCTCTAAGAAAACCCACCTTACAATCCATCTTCCATCTGTCTAATAATTGCCTATATTGGAACCAAGAATAAATAAAGTTTTCTTGTGCTAACTCTTCCCGTGATTTTAATTGCCAGTTTTGTCCATCCCATTTAAGTAACTGTCTGTAAGACACCATATCCATTTTAACCCCTCTTTTTATTGCTTCTATCGCATGCCAAGGTATAGCCCATAATGGTACTTTGAAATCACTTTTATAATATTTTCTCCAAATCCTAAGTAAAGAAATTCTTAAGATATGAGATTTAAAAGCCCAATCCATTTTTTTATTGAATGTTAAATAGGCATGCCACCCATAAAGTAAATCCCATCCCTCTAGATAAAGTATCTCAGAATTTGTCAAATTTACCCAATCACTGATTAGTGTTAAAACCACCGCATCATAATATAATTTCAAATTTGGTACCTTAAGTCCACCCCTCTCACGGAAGTCTTGCATAATTTTAAACTTAACCCTTGGCTTTTTCCCTGCCCAGATAAATTTATTAAGAACCTTCTGCCACTCATTTAAATTAATCTCATTTTTCAAAATTGGTAACATTTGAAACAGAAAAAGAAACTTGGGTAAAATATTCATTTTTATCACTGCAATTCTTCCCATGAGGGATAATTGCAACTTTTCCCAGTTCTTCAAGTCGTTCTGTACCCTGACCCACAACCTTTCATAATTATTTTTAAATAATTTTACATTAGAAACAGACAACATCACCCCCAAATATTTTACCTTATTAACAATCTCAAAACCCGTCAGGTTAGTCAAAATCTGCTTCTCCTGACTAGACATATTTTTAGGTAAAATTTTGGTCTTATTTACATTAATCTTAAAACCCGAGACCAAGCCATAATGATGAATCAACTGTAATAAGTTTACTACAGAATAATCAGGTTGCGACAAAGTAACAACCAAGTCATCCGCAAAAGCTCTTAACTTATATTCTTTTTTATTAACATATATTCCTTTAATTTCCTGAGACTCTCGAATTTTGATCAATAATATTTCCAATGTTAAAACAAACAACAATGGCGATAAAGGACACCCCTGTCTAGTACCTTTCTCTATTGTGAAAACCTCCGAAAGACCTCCATTAACAATAAGTTGTGCTGTTTGTTTTTGATATATTACCTTAAGGGCTTGTAATATATTTTCACCAAAATTCATTTCTTCCATTACTCTTAGCATAAAATGCCAATTCAATTGGTCAAATGCTTTTTCAGCATCTAAAAATATGAGCCCTGCAGGAACTTGGTTGTTCTTATCTAAGTATTCTAATAAATTAATAATTTGTCTAACATTGTTTTTCATATACCTTCCTGTTATAAACCCTGATTGATCTTTATGCACAAGATGATGCACCACCCTCATAAGCCTATTTACCAAAATTTTTACAAATATCTTATAATCCACATTTAAAAGAGATATAGGCCTATAATTTTTTTGGTAAAGTAAGATCTTGATCCTCCTTTGGAATCAATGATATAAAAGCACTACGCCATGAAGGAGGAATCTCTAAACCCTGTAAGATACCATTAAAAAGATCATTTAATGGTTGGATCATCTCCTCCATTAAAGCTTTATAATAAACAGCTGTTAACCCATCCGTACCCGGTGCTTTCCCTAATTTCAATTGTTGAATTGCTGAGGCAATTTCCTCCTTAGTAATTAAGCCATTAATTTCATATTTCTGATCCTCAGTCAGTTTAGGAAAACTTGCCTCAGCTAAATATTTATTTATATCTAACAATTGTACATTAGTAGATTTATATAAGTTTTGATAATAATCCAAAAAAGATTTTTTAATTAATTCCTTCTGAGAAACTAGTTTACCCTTGTAATTTATTTTCTCTATTATTCTCTGTCTCTGTTTCTTTCTTAATTGATAAGCCAACCATCTCCCCGGCTTATTAGCATTACAAAATGTATTTTGTTTCATAAATAATAAGTTGGTTGCAGCTTGATCTGCTATCAACATATTAAATTGTGACCTTAATAACTTTACAGATTCTTTAGTACTTTCATCAGAAGGATTTAGAATCAAAGCCCTTTCTTTTAATTTAATTTCATCTTCAAGTTCTCTACGTTTCTGAATCTGATTTCGCTTATAAAAATTATTCATTTTTATCAAAACACCGCGCATAAATGCTTTACCTGCATCCCATACCATTGACATTGAAGTCCCCTTGTACATATTCAAAGCAAAATAGTCCTTTAAACACTCCTTTAATTTTTGAACATTCTTCTCTTGTCTAAACAAATTTTCATTAACTCTCCAGGATCTTCTTTCCTCTTTCTCTTGAATCAGCTCCATCCAAACTGGACTATGATCCGTCAGTGATCTAGGAAAAATCTTAACATTCTTTACTTTATTATACAAGTCCGTGGTAATCAAGAAAAAGTCAATTCTTGAAAAAGATTGGTGTCTATCAGAAAAAAAAGTAAAGTCTCTCTCCTCTTGGTTACGTTCCCGCCAATAATCCCTTAATTCCCAGTCTTCTTTCATATCAAAAAAGGCTTTAGGTAGCCTTGCTTGTTTAAAAAAAGGAGAGGAACCTTTCTTGTCCCTTTGTGTATCTAAGACACCATTCCAATCACCCATTAATACCACTGATCTATAATCAAGCAATGTTATTTTTTGATGTAACTGCTTATAAAATTGTTCCTGTTGTTGATTTGGAGCGTAAAGTCCAACTATAAGTATTTTCTTACCATAAATACCAAGTTCAATCATCACATATCTCCCCTGGGGATCTGATTCTACCAGACAAGCTGGTAGGTTTTGTTTAACATATATAACAACTCCCCCTTTCTTCCCAGGAGCAGAAGATATAAAATGAGATCCCAAACTAGCATTAACTAAATATTTCTGATCTTTAAGTAAAATATGAGTTTCCTGTAAGCAAATAACATCATTAGTATGTTGCTTCAAATAATAAAAGATTTTTTTCCGTTTCTGAGGAGAATTCAATCCATTAACATTCCAGGTCAAAAACTTTGCCATCTCCCTTGGCACGCAGCCTGGAGAAGACACCATCAAAATCTGAA